TGTGTGTGTGTGTTTGTATATGTGTGTGTGTGTGTGAGGGTGGACAACATGGACAGGCTGCTGACTGGCTACAGCTGCTAAAGGAGAACCCTATGCTGGACACTTGTGATATTTTAAACATCTGGTATTTTTACATAAATTGTTATGGCTGTATTGATTTAAAAAAACAATAATGCAGTGGGTCCACCAGACCACTGAGTAACAAACACATCAACACCACACAAGGGTTCATCATTTTGATTGAAAAATAAATAAATGAAAAGTGGTCTCTGTGTTTTGCACAGTACTGTGTAACTGTTTTCCCCACATAGAAAACAACCATTTAGCCATGCAATTTTTGTTTTTATTAATAATTAAATGTTTTAAAATGTACTCCACTTTGTGCCACTGGACGGGAGCCCGTTAGCACAGCTTCAAAGGATGCTTTGGACTCCATGTCCATCTATCCACTTCACATATTCTGCCCATGTTGTAGTGCTGAACACCCAAACTTGACCAGCAGCTGCCACTGGTGTGCACAGGACCCAAGTCGCTACAGCATTTAACACTCTCTACAGTTTTGTGTAATCAAGAATGAACTGTTATACAGGCTGCTATAATCAGAGACACTGTTTTTGAAGTTGGTTGCTTTGCTTAGACAACCGTAACAGAGGCAGTGCATCTTCTGAAGTCCCTGTAAAACTATAGCAGCTAATTCAATATTAGGGTCCCTACAGTGGACATGATATGCATTAAAGCAACAGAACAGCAAAGCCTCTTATTTGCCTGCAGTGGAACAAGACCATGGGTTCGGAAAAAAAAGGAATCAATACAGCACTCGTACAGCGCCTACAACCATGTCCTGCCACAGGCTAGCAGAGGAGTCCGTCACTCATCACTGAAAATGAAGTACCTCGCCATGAATAATATACTCACAAGCACAGTGGAAATTACATTAGAGAGGAGAGGAGAGGGCAAGAGAAGAGAGACAAGGCAGAAGGAGGAGGAAAAGGGAGAAAAGAGGAGAGATGATGAGAAAACGAGACATGAGAGGACACCTGCTTTTTTTAAAGTCACTTATGCAGTGAAATTATTTTACTAAGTATCATGACTTAAAGGGGAATTCCACCAACTTTTAAAAATGTCTGCATCATTTAACCCTTGTGTGGTGTTGATGTGTTTGTTACTCAGTGGTCTGGTGGACCCGCCGCATTATTTGTTTTTAAATCAATACAGCCATAACAATTTATATAAAAATACCAGATGTTTAAAATATCAAGTAGCCAGCGCAGGGTTCTCCTTTAGCAGCTGTAGCCAGTCAGCAGCCTGTCCATGTTGTCCACCCTCACACACACACACACACATACAAACACAGACACACACACACTAACAACAGGTCATGTAGGAGGAGAACAGAGTGAAGGACACAGCACCTCCACACTTTTACTCCCCGCAGGTTCACCCAACACCACATGTGTAATATAAATGTGTGGGGGTGAACAGAGTGAAGACACTGAAAATGTTATTTTATATGTTCTTCACTGAAAATGAGCAAAGGCCAAAGAATCTGAGGTTGAAATAATTAAACATGAAAATCCCACAGACCCCAACACCACACAAGAGTTAATTGTTTTGATGTAAACAAAGGCTTTCAGAGTGGTTTGGTGTTCAGTGTTCTGTTCTAGAGACACTTATCAACTCAGAAATGTTCACAGTGGTGGTGATAGGAACCATACGTCTATTTAATGCCTCTTAAAACTCCCTCAGTGAAAGTCATTGCTCTAAATGGTTATGAATAAGCTGCCTCATGCCTGAGACTTTGTTTAACAATAATTTTACAATACAGGTGTCACGCATTCTCCCAGAATTCTCTGGGAGATCACATGACTGAAACACTTCACTCCTCAGTGGACGCAATCCTCCAGAACTCCCGGAGAGATCCCACGACTTACCAACACCAACCAATCTCCGTTCTGCCTCGCCTGAATATTGATATACCTCACCTGAATCTGACTATGATGTCTTGTTGAGTTAGTATCTAAGCCTGGGCTTGTAGTTCAGATCTTTGTGAGGTATTGCGTCTTTTAAAAAGCTACAGAACATATTTTTTGTATTTTTGCTTATCCTGTGTACCTTTTCTTTTGCCTAAGTTCAAGATTCTACGTTTGGTCTTTTCCCACTTGGATTGTTTGTTTGGATCTCCTTTGTTATGTACATTCAGATATTTCTGGCCTTGACCATGTCTCTCTTGAACCCCAGTAAAGTCTATTATAACGGCACACATCTGACTAGTCTGGTTGTTTTACAATGGTTTTGGCATAAAACACATATTTAAAAAAAAATATTCCCCCCAGAGGAAAAGATCTTTCTTAAGATCGTAGAAATAAAGCAGATCTCAATACTATATTAATGAAGGATCACTGATTTCTGAACTGTTTCTCCTAAACCCCCCTTAGGAGAAAAGAGGAGATCAACAGCATTTCACTGTGAGAAGTTCTAGTGATGAAGAGAGTTACTGAGAGAGTTCTGTGATCTAGAACAGAGCTGTATGAGAACACAATGAGATCTCACACTTTTCTTATAGAGATATTACTCAGCTGAGACACGGGTGAGACGAGTCAGACACTCTTTGTTCTAAACGGATTTCTGTGAAGCTGCTTTGTGACAACATCAGTTGTAAAAAGCGCTATACAAATAAATTTGATTTGATTTGATTTGACTAAAGAGTTAAGCCACATGTGGGACAACATTTTGACCAAAGTGAGAAAATCTGAGTTTTATATCTCAGGAGCTGAATTTCAGAAACAGGAGAAAAAAGGCTTAAATCTCACTCTGATTTCAAACTGGACTTAACTGTGTCTAGGATAAGAACCTGAGACCAAGAGGAGATCTCATTTAGAATATTTCTTTCCTCTGGGACAGCAAAGATGCACATGCATACTATAAACCTTAAAACCTGCATTACAATAAACGTTTTCCTCTTTGGGGCATTTTTTTCATTATTTTACAATAATAATGTTAATAATAATAATAACAAAAAAGTTGTATTTATATAGCACTTTCATGTCGGTGGCAGCTCAAAGTGCTTTACAGACAGGTGACAAAGCTTAACAGTAAAACAAGAAATTCTAAATATTAATTCAGAATCATATAAGAAATGACCCAAATCAAATAAAAAGATAAACACCATGAGATGTAGAGCTTTAATTAAACACTAAGTTAAAGAGATACGTTTTTAAATGCTTCTTAAAAGTGAGCACTGAGCTTGACTGTCTAATAAAAGGTGAACTGAGCTCCACAGTTTAGGTGGAGGTGTTTGTAGAAGGTCACTATCTGCAGATCTAAGATCACGTGCTGGAATATAAACAGACAGACACTCTGTGATGTAAGTGGTGCTTTAAGGTCATTTAGAGCTTAAAAAAATAGTAGCAGCACTTTATAATCTATCCTGAATGATACAGGCAGCCAGTGCAGTTCTTTCAAAACGGGAGAATTATTGAATTTGAAAATCCATGAGACTCCAGTAGGTTCACTGATGTTGTTGGACAGTAAAAAATGCCTATATTTGTGTTGTAGACATTCCTATCACAACCACTGTAAAGAAATCAGAGTCTCTGCAATGAACCGTTTCACGTCAAACCACTCTGAATGACTTTACATCTCAACCACTGAGTTATATAGAAATTTTGTTACATATGAACATAAAGAAAAGCCCACTGCCAATAACATAAATCATAAAAAAAGAAAATTAAAAGTGGCCTATGATGTGTTTTGGATTGCAACCCTTCATATACTGACTAGATTTAATGAGACTTCACTTGCCAAGGCATCATTTTTGCAGTGTGGGTTTTTGGCCGGTGATGTCTGCAGCCCACAGACGTAACAAAATGTGACAGTGAGTCAGGCAGTTGTGAGGTGCACAGGTGTGGCTCACGCTCACTCACGCACGCGGCTGCGCGCTCACACCTGCCTCGGCAGGGCTATTAGAATAAGTGACGGGTCTCAGAATAAAATTACACTCAGTCTAATGAAACAGCTGACAGTCTATGCATGATACTGATCGCTTCGCCTGAGGGGAGGTTAGTTCGGTCGGCGGTTGCAGAGCCTATAGAGAGACGTATGAGAGCTGGAGAGATAGTATAAGGGCCATAAGAAGAAGCAATGAGCAAGTCTGATTGTGAAAGATTCAAGAGACGAGGAGGGGGGCATGAAAAGAAACCCTCACTGGGTTGGGGGGGTGTTTATGGAGGGATGTGATAATGTTTTCCCTTTGGGTTTAGGGTCTGTACACTGCAAAAAATAGTATCTTGTCAAGTAAAATTCTCTTAAATCTAGTTGATATATTCAATATTCCTCCTGTTAAGATTGTTGTAAGCATTTTTAAGATTTTGTAACTTATTTCCAAACATTTTTACTTGTTTTAAGTCATTTTATTAAGTAAAATTATCTCACTATATTGGCAGATACTTTTGCTTGTATTAAGAAATGTGCTTGAAACAAGCTAAATTATCTGCCAGTGTAGTGAGATAATTTTACTTAATTAAATTACTTAAAACAGGTAAAAATGTATAGAAATAAGCAAAATAATCTTATAATAAGTGCACAACCATCTCAAAATGAGAAATATTAGACATGTTGACTAGAATTAAGATAACTCTACTTGACAAGATACTACTGTATGTATTTCACCCTGAGTTAGACTGGGTGTCCAAGTGTAATGGAGACTGGACGAGAGCCGGATTGAGCGAGGGCTCAGCTGATTCGCTTTAAATCGCAGATCACACTGAGACTAAATATAGAAAGACGACAATGTCTAAGGCACTTTTATCTCTGTCTTCATCTCGATCATCTAGTTCAGCTCTCTGATATGAGGTATTCATAAGCAGAGATAAAAATCACCAGAAATACCCTCAAAGCACATAAACGAAAGACACAATGAACTGGAATAATGCACACTGGACTGGATAGCAAAGTAATAAACACATTTGCTCTCACAACACACAAATAACATAATAACTGACCTGTGTGTTGATTCGGATTGCTCCAATGGATGGGATCTCAAAGTAGTATCCTGTTGAGCAAAGACAATGAGAAACAATAAACAAGCAATAATACAGTCAGGTTTCTAACATTCAGCTGCAATTTAAGGACCCACAACTGTTTTTCTTCATTATTTTGCAAAAGGAATTTACCAGATACGTATAAGGCCTTCAAGGAGAGTGTGACCACATGTCTGAAAGAATGCATGGCTTTCACTTTCAGGTGAGCAATATTACAATATGCTATTGTTAGCATGATAAATTACACTGTGATATGCTTTGTTTAGTATTTTGTGGGTATCATCAGTACCTCTGTAACCCTAAACAACTGAATAGGTCATTAAAAGACTGTAAACAACAACCAGTGTAAGTGCATAAACTATATAGTAACAAATGACAGGTTATTCCATAACATAAGCATAATGCCACTTTCCTCCTTTTCCTTCTTTAATTTTCTATTTATAGTTTTTAACAAATGTTTATTTTATAGTATTTTTTGTAAATGTTTACAATTAAACAAGCTGTATTGGCTACTGTGCCTTGAAGACGGGCCTCTCTTTTCTGGCTGTTTTTGCCTCAGTCAAAAAGCAGCCTGGGCTGAAACACTCCTTATAATTTCAGTGAGTGTGTTTACATGCACTCAATAATCCAACCATAATCTGACTTCTGCAGTTATCTGATTATTTAAATGGTCATGTAAACAGCACACTCAGATTGCTTAGATCAGAGTAAGGTCTAGAAATCTGATTAAGAAATCAGATAAAGAGAGCTGGGTTTTAGCTCAGTAATCAGATTTCTCAGAGCATGTAAACTCTTACTCTGATTTCTTTCAGATTTCTCAGTCTGTGCATGAGCGAAAACAGACGGCGGTGCCGGAAATGAGCAAGCAGCGCCACCACAAGACGTAGCAAAACACTTTTAGAGCGACGCTGAAACTAAATACATGCCTGACGAAATTAAGGATTTAAATATTCTTCATTTTTTAGATAATCTTCATATTTTCATGTGGCGTGATGTTTTAAAATAAGAGCTGCAGCATGTTTTACATTACGTTTACGTCGTCTTCTGCGACTTTATTGGCTGGTTGTAAAGCAGAAATCTGATTACTGTCTGACTCATGTAGACCTGGAGTTCTTACATTATCTGATTACTCAAGTGTATGTAAACATGTTGATCGGATTACCGACAAAATCTGATTTTCTGCAGTTATCGGATTATTAAGCGCATGTAAACACACTCAGTGTGAACTTTAACAAAGTGTGTATTAAAAAAGCAATACAATATGGTTTCCCATGACACAGGCCCTTTAAAAAGTGGCACCACTGTTTTGCTGGTGTATTTTGTCTGTTCCAACTTGTTCACAAACATCAGAAAAATGAAACATTATAATATACAGTGTAACCTGAAATGTTTTCAAGTATTGTGACATTATATTTTTGCCATATCGCCCACCCTCACTTTCACTACCCATCAGTGTGCATGACTCGTACCTTACTGTGGCTGCGGGAGGATCGACTTTCAAATCTCTACCATTAACGCTGTGTAACAGTCAGCGTGATTGAGCATGCTGAAGCCTAAGCTTAGGCTGATTAAAGGGAGAGCAGAGGCACTAGCAGGGTCAATAAGCCCAGCTCAGCAAGTTATTAAAGAGAGAAGTGTTTGTACAATGAGCTGCAAAACGGAGCCAACACCTGCAGAATGTTAAAAGCTAAGTAACGTCCGTCACCCTACATGACCGGAGCCTCATTCTTTCTGTGGCCGGCTGTGTACAGCCACGGCTTTTCATTTCTAATTACACATAACTAAAGCAGCACAGCATCTCCGTCTAGGCCTGAAGAGCTTGTCTGGAAATGTCATAAAAGTAACAGTCAGGATGTTAATTAACAGAAAATGAATACTGTGTTAGAACAGCTCAGCGTAACTGTTACAGGTAGGAGGAAAAATCCACACAGTATATTATAGTGATATATTGGGTTAAAATGGTATTTATACATACAGTCCAAGTATGGACATTTTTATTACTTATGAAGCCCACTGTTAGACTAATAGATTACCAAGCTGCATCTCCGTATGAAGACAGCATCGTTTCTTTCTGGCGAGACCAAGTTTTCTGTCAGTGTAGTTGTTATTGGGATCAGTCTGATGGTGCAGTGGATAACACCACTATAACATACCACTAAGACTCCAATGAGGCAAAACACCTACATTCACCTGCCATTGTTAGCTGCTTTGGACAAAAGCAATGCTAAATATATAAGGATAAAGATGTTTTTAATGTTGTCTACTTTACCAGTAAAACCATCTGATACATATGTAAATGTTGGGGTAAAGTGTTTAATTTTGGGGCTGTATTAAAGAAACCTCTTAAGTCTGTAATCTTATCTGCTTAGTCACCATGACCACTTTAGTTAGGACTGAATTTAGGACAGAAGCTGTTACTCCAGATATGAAAACAGTATTACAGAAACATTCTAACTAAACAAAATTTCCTAAATTCTGTCCTAACTTTAAGATGAACCCCAGAGGCGTCTTAACTTCTGTTTTAACCGTCTGTTTCTATTGTTTTGTGCAGCGAGAGGCAGCATAGTTCACTGTAACTGGCATAATGATGCTACATTTATCTACATTGAAAATGGTGCTTTGACCCCCTTATTACCTTTGGGTGTTAATATTTGATAAAAACTCGTTAGATACAATATTACAGAGATGGTGGTGAATAATGAGGAGACGGAGCTAAACGTGTGTGAGTTTATTAGGAGGAATAACGTTAGCGTGCTCGGCTAAAGCGTTTGGGAAATGGAGACTGAAACTGGAGCGGCGCCGCTCTGATAAACAGCATGAAGGGCTGACACAACATTATTAACTTTCAGTTTATCGCGCTTTAGTTTTGACCTTTTTTACCTCAGTAACGGTAGCCAACGTTGACTGTCTGGCTAACTAACTTGATTACGTGTTTACAGCTGTGCGCGTATGGTCAGATGCTATGTAACAGTCATGACAGTTAATTGTTGAATTCGATCGAGTAAGTTAAGATTTCCTAACTTGAGATGAGATGCTGTAAGATAAGATTCTTAAATTAAGATAAGTTTTGCTTCTGTAATACGAATTTGTGAAAAATCTTATCTTGACCTGTCAGATCTTAACTAAGACAAAAAGTTAAAAAAGTTGGTTTGCCTCAATGTAATAAGACTAAGTGAGAGGAACACACTGTAAACATCACATATGTACACTATATGTATATACTAGCATCTCACAAATCTTCAAAGGGCGCATATTATAGAAAAGAGAATTTCTCTCACTTTTTTGTGGTAAAAGCCTGTTTTGAATTCAGTGTGTTTGTGATGTGAATAACCAATGCATTTACATATGTCTGCCTAGTCGGCTACAGCAGTTTTGGCCATCTACTCACGCTGAAGTTATAAGCAGTGTTTCAGGCTGGACTACAAATGAGGCACAATACAGGACAGCCAATCAGAACAGAGCCCATTTACAGCCTGTTTAATTCAGAGGGATGAAGAGACGTTGGAACATTTTTTGGGGAAAAATGAATATCAGCCCAGTTTTCCTGTAAGTTGCAATAGTTTTATCAAAAGAGAGTGAAGTGAGGCAGAGGCACAGAGTGAGATGGATCATTCTGGAGATGATAAAGGGCCCATGTGCTACATTTTCTTGTCCCCCCTCATTTTCTTACCCCCCCCTCCAACCTCTACTTATAAACTTTAACCAGGTTTAAGCACCAAATGTAGCCATAATTCATTTTTACATGATCATTTCTAATCTCTTGTTTTCACTTCAACTTAAACAGGCTGTTTCTGTTACTGTGCCTTTAAGCCTAATATATGTAAATGACCTATGTTTTGTCCTACATTGTGCCTTGTTCAAAAAGGAGTCAGGGCTAAAATATTCCTTAACCTTCAACATGAGAGGGCGGGGCTAAACTGCTGTAGGCTGAATAGGCCGATGCATCGTTTTTTATGACATCACTAAAAATGAAGAATTCAAAATGGGCTGTTTTTGTTGTGATCGTCATATCAGTAGAAGGTCATATGAGAGTAAGTTGGAGAAGGAAGACTCCAGAGATTTAGGCCAAGTCAAAAAAACAAAAAACAAAAAAAAAAAAGACGAAAAGTCCTGACCGAATGTGTCACATTTAAGGGAGTCAATTAAGACAAGTTAAATTCTGAATAAACAGCTTCATTAAAGGGGCCATATCCTACATTTTTCTTGTCCCCCACCCTGAGCTCCACTTATAAGCTTTGTGGTGGGATTATATACCAAAAATAGCCATCTTTCAACATTCCTATTATCACTTAGAATTAAACTAAACAAACATATATGAAGAGCTCTGTTCTGCTCTGTATTGTGTCTTTTTCAAAAAACATTCTTGGCTTAAACACTCTATAATTTCAACATGAATGGGCGGAGCTGAACTGCTGCAGGCTGCATAGGCCAATATACGTAAACACATTGGTTTTTACGGCATCACAAAAATTGATGACTGAAAATGGGCTAATGCGATAGTCTTTTGAACAGCAGGTCATGTGAGGCAGATGCACTGAGTAACTCTGAGAGGAATCATATTGGAGATTCCAGAGAAGTCGAAAAAAAGAAGACAAGAAGTCTTGACAGGAAATGTCACATTCAAGGCAGTCAGAAATTAAAACAAGTTATAATCTGAATAAACAACTTTCTAATCTGAATTAACAACTTCAAAGAACCAAAAAGAGCCGTAACGGAGTCAGAATGAGTCAAAGCGAGCGAGAACTGGCTGGAGTTCAGCTGTGGCCATATGAGACGCAGTCGGTGGTAGAGTGTGCGAACCGGTCTCACTGAGGAACACCCGGCGCTGTGATAACACACACTAAGCTGTGTCAAACACACGTCTTGCGTTGTTGCCCGTGGCCTGATCCCCCTCACTCGCTTGTGTTTACAGCGCAATGAATACGTTGCTTTCCGTCTCTTGGGCAATATGTTCTACAAAGCAGATTGATACAGAGTACCCCCGCCAATGCCCCCCTCCACTTCTCTAAGACTGTTCGTGTGCGTATGAGAGATAGGAGGGAGACGGAGAGAGCATGAGCGTGTGCGTAGTTTAGAGGGGGGCATCAATCTATGCCTCAGCGAGAGCCCGTTTGCGTGCAGGGTGCGGCATCTTGTGCGTCTTCGACACCAAAGGGACAGAGAGGCGCGTTCTTGTCTTTGTGAGCGTGTCAAGGGTGTTCCTCTGCTGGATTGTGATACCAGCACACTCAGTGGAAACGGAGGAGATCGAGCCCGCCGAGAGAGGCTGAGAAAAACCACCTTCCATGCCAGCCTGGTCCCCTTAACGCTCGCCATTAGACTGGAGAACACGACCACTCAAAAGGCTAATCCTCAAGTCGGAGCCGCTTTGGCTGGAGACGGAGGGAAGTCACGGTTATCGCCGGCAAGCCAGTTCCTTCTCGGCTAATTAATTAAAAACTTGTGTGGGGGGTGGGGGAGGACCTCTGAAGCACTTTGGCACCGTTCACACTTAACTAATCAGGGAGCAGGGAGAGCAGCGATCATTAGGAGAGTGCCGAGAACGAGAGAGCAAAGCAGAAAGGCACCGAGGAGCGAGGGGAAGAAGAGCAGAGAGACAAGGAGGAAGGAATGTGCTGAAATTAGCAGCTTGGGTCAGATATCTCAAAGCTATTTCATAAGCACAGGGGTTATATGACTTCTGTGGTTGCATTAATAATGTGGTAATATTACTCCCTAAAATCATTTCAGCTAAGCAAAATGGTGTATTTTAATTAAGCCAGACTTTAAGGGTCTAGATTTAAATTACAGGGCTTTGTAATTATCAAAATAACATAAGCTGTTATGTGTCTTCATATTGAAGGTGTATTGTAAGTCAAAAAGTTATGATTCAGCTCAGGTTTGGCTAAAACACTGACAAATTCAGAACACGCACCTTTGTTGGCACAAGCGATCCACTGCAATGGAGTGACGTCGTAGTTGTGCTGGCCTACAGAGAAGGTGAAAACTCGAACCTGTGGCAGAACAAGAGGCTCACTGTAAGGCTCTGTAGAAACTCTGAATGGTGAAATTTTCTAAATTTTTAAATTTGCTTAAAACAATAAATCAGCATCATAAGTACTAGATTTGGCCGATATTTATTTCACTCCGGAAGAGCAGAATGTTGCTAGGCTACTGTACTAAAATGCCTTTATTAATTCAGGTGGATTTGGTCTCTATTTCTACAATTTATAAATGATTTTGTATCACAATGGCAGATATATTGGTTCTTCTCCATTATGGAAACCTGTTATACACCTTTTGAAAAATGGTTCTGTCCCAAAAGGATTCTGCTATTGTTGCAAGTCATAGAAACTTGTTTTATTACCATATTGAACAGATACAACAGTGACAACAGAGCACATATTTACTATTATAGTACTACATGCTGGTGTAGATAAGTGTGGACTTAATATAGGCAAAGGTAAAACTATACAACAAAAACTACACCTAAAATGAGAACTTCAAGGTAGAAAAGAAAACATCATGAGTAAAAAATGTTTTTTCTGCACTTTTCTGCAGATTTTTATTTGTTAAGTGCAACATGTTGGGAAAAAATAAAACATAAAATATAAAATGTCATAACTGTTTTTCCTACATGTTAAACTTAACAAATAAAAGAAACTGTGCACTAAAATTAATAGAAAAATGTGTGTGTTCTCTGTAGAGGAGGTGTTATTATTTTCATTTAGAAAATGAACAACACATGTTATTTGGCCAAGATTTATACTTATACTTTAAGACTTTAAGGTCTAAAAGAAAATATAATGAGTTCAAATATGCCTTTTCTCTCTTGGAAATGTGAGCAAAAGTACATTTATTTTCAGTAATACTTAAACACAAATACAAAATGATTAAGTTTTGTAAAGTATCATCACCAGCATTTTCACCCCTAAGTGCAATTATCCACTGTAAGTATCCATTTACATGAATGTTCTGTGCAGCTCAGATTTCATGTTTGATTTTGAAATATGACGAATGCCACAGCCATCTGTAAGTGTGTACCCAAGAGCAAAAGATTTCTTGCAAGATTGTGTGATGAGAGTCCTGGCTAGTGGGGAAGTTCAGTATAAAAAACAAGTTCATTTTATTTACCAAAGATTCAGCATTAACAATTAAAAAAGGAGAACTTTTGAAACTAAGAAGTTTGAGTTTGGTGAACTCCTGTGTCCTCAAGTTGAGTCAACTCAAGAAAAGCCATGTAATCAGTTACTATATCATTCTGAGCTGAGCAGACCGCTCATGTTTAACAGTGTATCTCCATTTTTTTATTTTTATTTTTCTACATCATCTGAGCTGAGCAGCTGTCATTTACATTGTGTGAAAATTTCACGAAGATTGGACCAATAGAAATGCTCCAAAAATGCCTGAAATAAAAACTCTTCACATTAACTTACACTGAAAGTAAAGAACGTTTTTGCCCGCTCCTGTGAAGTTAGTATTGCGGTGACATTGTTTTTCTCTGGACAGCGACGATATATTTATTTGCAACCAAATTCGTTTTATATTAATGAAAACACTGATTCCAAACCTTTGAAAGGCAGTGTAAAATGTAATTAGGGTGACATTGGTTGGCATAAATTCCAGGCAGGATTAGTGTTCGGTGGTGTTGAGAGGCAGGAGAGGACTCACTGTTTTATTGGGCCAGTTGTACTTCTCGAAAATATCTTGAGCTCGGTCCTCTCCTCCATCTGTGAACATCATTATCATCTTATTGCAGTTTGCCCTCGGAGTGCTGGTCTCCTGCAGGAAAAAGGAGGGAGAGAGAGAGAGAGAGAAAGTGGAAGAAATGATGAAGACTCCAGTCACTAGACCTATATGACCTTGATTCTACGTTTGAGTGCATTTGCATTCCACTTTGCTATTACGTTTTAATGAGAGCAAGTACCACCCACTTTCTACCTATCTATCTATCTATCTATCTAGAGAGAGAGACAGAGGGAGAGAGACCACATCTGTTTTTCTAATCATACGTCTGCTTTAGTGCCCAAATGCTGCCCACTGTCCTGTCTCTGATGAGCTACCCAGAAGTCTCTCTCTCTCTCTCTCTCTCTTTCTCTCTCCAACCCGTCCAATCACAGCTGTCATTGACATTCGCCCGATGCCACATCACTCTGACAAGATTCTAATAAAGATAAATAATACCGCCGCAATTACGCATTTCAGCTCGTTCTCCTCTACGCCAATCAGGGCTGTCCTCCGCAGCGGGCAGCGATTAAAATGCCTTAGCAGTTTTAGCTCTGCCAGCGATTAGAAAGGCTGTTGAGACGGGGAGGGTGGTACGGCAAACAGAGAGAGAGAGGCTGAGAGCTTGGCTCGCTCGCCCTGCTCTCTGTCTAGCTGGGAGAGAATACAAATTCATCTGTGTGTCTGCGCCCCATCTCCTCCCAGCCTCTCTCATCAATCACGCTATCAGGATCTATTAGAGCGCCAGCCTCGCAAAACACACACACACACACACACACACACACACTGAGCTTTGTGGACATGCGCAAATGATGAAAGCTCAGATGCACACGCTGCTTGTTTTCTCTACAGGGAACAAATTTAAATATGCCATTTTCTGCAAGTTGTATTTCGCTGTTGTTGGAACAAAACCTCGTATCTCCAAAATGGTAACTTTACAGGAGAAGGAAAAAACCTTCTTTACTTTTATGTAAGTCAATGGAACCAGACTTTTTTCAGAGTAATTTTTGGCTGTTTCTTTTGGTCCATTTATTATAAAATTTACAGACAATGTAAAGGCCAACAGGTATTTTTTAAATTATGTCAAAAGCTGAAAAACGACAAAAATGGAGAACAAGGTTTTGTTCTGACAGCAGCCACTTGTTTCTATTTTTTTGCTGAGTTTTGTCAAAAAATAAAACATAAAATATAAAATTGTCATAACTTTTAAACAGGCCACTTTTTATGTTTTATTTTGATGTCAAATTCAGCAAATCAACAATCACTGTGCATTAATAACAAAACAACAAAACATGCCATTACACCATGGGTGCTCAAACTTTTGCACACGCCTGTATACACTAACATTAAGAAGTTTGGAATCACTTCTCATTTTAATTTTTGTTATTCTGTATATAATCGTAACATATATAATGTACATTTAAATATCACAAACTGTTAAAAAGATGAATTTTTTAGATGGTTTCATTAGTACACTGTCGTGTGCAAAAGTTTGGGCACCCCTGGTCAAATGACATTTTGCTGATTTTTGAAGTGATAATAAGTGAAAACATCCTCTACAGAGAACACACTTCTGCACAGTTTGGTACACAATTGCTGCTGAATTTAACATAGTGGGGGGAGGCAGGGGCGGGGGGGGGGTGGTTAAAAACATAAAATGGCCTGTGCAAAAGCTATGACTCATTTTATTTTGCCCAAAAATGTTTTATGTCCATAAAAACATCTCGTAACATTTGAATAAATACACATAAACGTAGAGGAAACAGTGACATGATTTTTCTGTTTTCAGTAAAGTTATGAGTATGTTTGTTAGTAAAATACAGTTAGAAGAACACAGGTGTGGTTCCTGATTTCTTGCTGCTCTCCAGCCATCACATGGATTTGTTCATTTCCATCAGCATCACCTGATTTACTTTAATGTAGGGTGGATTAGCTAAACTAGTTATTTGATAGTAACTGTAAATACAGGACTTCCTCGAGGAGAGATCTGGAATGGTTAATCTCACATTCACACAGAACAATAACAACATATTTTCCATTTTGTTTATTTGTATTTACGCTAACATTATTTTTTTTTTACGAATAAAGGCTTTCTGCCCAGAAAAAATGGTTTAACATCTCATTTTTTCCAGATGCCTAACACTTTTGCACAGTACTGAATATGAGCATACAGGAATGTGTGCACAAGTTTGAACACCCCAGACAAATTACCTGCATTATTGATGTTCAAAGTGAAAATAAGAAAACACATACTGTACAGAGAGCGCACTTAAACACAGCATTTTTCTCTCAATATTAGTGCAGAATTATTATTTTATTCTGAGTTTAACATAATGGGATCGATGCTGTCGGGCCAAGACCTCAGATCTCCTAAATGACAACTTGGAGAAGGAAAAAACCTACTTTACTTTTAATGTAAGTCAATGGAACCCGACTTTTTTCCAAGTAATTTTAGGCCGTTTCTTTTGATCCATTCATCACGACATTTACACACAATGTAAAGGACAGTAGGTATTTTCAAATTATGTCAAAAACTATACGTTAAATTCAGTAAATAAACAGTAATTGTGCATTATATTGTGCAGAAGTGTGTTCTCTGTAGAGAATGTATTAACATGAAATAAGTCATTTGACCAGAGGTGCCCAAACCTTTGCATAAGACTGTATATCATCTAACGGTTCTGTGTTTCTTCCTGCATGGCCATGGTGTGTTTGTGTACAGTGTGCTGTCTTACATTCAGCAGCTGCTCAAAGGCAAACTTGAATCCAGATTTGTAGTCGGTCGTTCCCTTCGCCTGCATGTTCATCACCTTATCCTTGAAGATCTTTTTGTTCCTCACATTTGCCTGGACCAGTGTCTTAAAGCACGAGACCACAGCATCTGCCTTTTCATTAAACTGAGAGAGAGAGAGACGAGAGAGAGAGAGAGAGAGAGAGAGAGAGAGAGAGAGAGAGACACAGTTTTATCAAAATGCAATTAAACAGGATTTTCCTCCCTAAACAATTTAAATGTGGAGACATTTAGACGTTTCATTCTTCTCTTCCATTAGGTCTAAAAGCATCATGATCTGTTTTTAATTCATGCTATTTGGACTCATTTACATCAGAATTAATTTGTTTTGGCAATTGTAGTTCGTTTGCCGAAGCTATCAAAGGATCAGCTTGCACAAAACTTAAAGCCCATTTAAAACACATTAAGTGGCAGAACGAGTAATACAAGACCAACTAAGCCTGTTTGTAGTGAAATGTAATCTAGTTCATCTTTCACTGAATAAACAATAAAAACTGGACTTTGCTACCTTTAAATCAATAACCAGTGAAAATCTAAAGGAGAAAAACAGAACGAGGGACATGAACTGCAACTCTCGGTGAGTAAAATCGTCTTAAATGTAGTCAATGTAGCTGATAATCTCATTGTGAGATTACTGAAGAATATTATAAGAATAAAGTCCACAAATCCTGCAGTGAAAGCAGAAATACTCAGGCTAGAATGTTACTAAACACCTTCTATATTTACTGAGTTAAATACAAAAGTACTTGCTTTTAAGTGCACTTAGGTATCTGAAGAAAACAAGAGTTATTCCATCTATTGTAGTTATTGTGTTGTATTAATTTGATGAACAATTTCTGTTAAGACTTGTCTGGCTGCAGACATGAAAAACAAAGATGAAAACAGTCCAAACAACTGGATTTACCTTCATTAATCAAAAATAAGTTTCATTTTCAAAGTTTCATAAATTTTACTCCCCCCTTTCCAAACTGTTAGAATATTGACAGTTATTTGGTTTTAAGATACCCCACAAAACATTACAGCACTTAACACGTTAAATTTTGACAGTTTGTCTCGACAGTTTGTCAGAGCTGCTCCAGTCTTCCTTTTTTCCTTTTTGTGTTTATTATTAGTTTTTTAAAAAATCTTTCTTCTTTTTTAACTGCAATCAGGAATCTTTTTTCCTTTTTTTTCAGTTTTTCCCATTGCAGTTAGTCTGTAATCTGTTTTTAATGTCATTTCATTATTGTATAGCCTCTTTTTGTTACTGGTGCTGCGACTGGCAATTTATTATTGTCTTTGAAAATCAATAAACATACAATATTTATTATAATATATAATAAATGATAATAATATAATAATAAAACATATCACTGTTGTCGGAACAAAACCTCGTATCTCCAAAATGGTAACGTTACAAGAGAAGGAAAAAAACCTACTTTACTTTTAATGTAAGTCAATGAAACCAGACTTTCCAAGTCATTTTGGGCCGTTTATTTTGGTCCATTCATCATGAAATTTACACACAATGTAAAGGGGAACAGGAATGGTCAAATTATATGAAAAACTGAAAAATGGTTTTCTTCCGACAGCAGTGATAAACATATATAAAGTTACAGCTACAAAGCTACATTTGGACAATATGTATTTAGGGGAGGGGCTTAGTGAAACATGCCCTGTGATTGGTGTATTTCAGTTTTAAATTGTTTTAGTTTGTGTAGTGTAGAAACTCCTGCATTTTTTTACAAGTAGCGACGCACGCTGCAGAAAGTAGAATATTTTAGTGTGAAATGTAGTGGAGTGACAGTAAAACAGAAATGCTTTAATACAGATACTTGAAAAAAAGAACTTAAGTACAGTTATTCAAGAAATGATGCAGATAATCTTATTTTTAGGGATGCACTGTAATTTCCACCAACAATATTTTTAGCCAAGAAGAAAATTAGCTGAACATTTTCACCAAACATAAAATAAGACGGACCTACAACAGGTTTCAACAAAAGGTTTCAACAAAAGGTTTCATGAATAATTTTAATGGCAATGAAAATGAGAAATTGAGATTAAAAGAGCTGTCTTTGCTTCCTTTGCTTTCTTGAGCCGGTCAGTGCAGACACAGACAGCACATATACACTGAAAATATCAGCCTGTGGGACAATTTCACAGCTTCTATGAGATATTAGGCAAAAGATTTATAATCTGTATTCACTCTAGTATAAAGAGGGAGCACAATATTGAAAAACTTCTTCATTACAGGTCTACGTCCATGAAATCCTGCTCAGTATGCAGAATACACAGTACATTCAAAGCATTTTCTGTACAGCTAAAGTATCCTGATGATTCAGACGAGATAAGATAAAAATATAATACTTTACAGGGTCCTACAAGCATCTATAGCTGAATTCCACAACACCTCCTCTTAGATTGCTTTGTTTGAACTGAAAAAAGTAGCACTTCTTATTTAGGAGAAAAATCAGGGTAAAATAAGCTGAGTGTGTGCTGCCGCGAGTCGTCTCACTAAGTCTGAAATAACAATTTAAAAGTCAGAGGCGCGAGTTGAGAGTTTTGCATGCCACGTCATACGTCTTTATGTATTAACGTCACAAGCACAGACTCAAAAAGAAGGTCTGGCTTGATTATTAATTTCACTCTCCAAATACCCTTTTCAGTGCGTTCACAAACATCAGATTCATCCGCTCGGGGAAGGGGTCCGAAGCACAACCCACATTACAAAATGTTCTTCTGCACATTGCATGCAATTACACATTTCCACCAGAGAGGTCTCCAAATCCCCAAAACTTACATAATGCAGCTTTGAACACAAACTTTTCATGAAAGATATGCATGAAATCAGTTAATGTTAAAAAAAAAAGTATAAGCTGAAACACAGAAGAGAAAATAAGTTTTAGCTGCAGCAGACTGTGTGTGAATGTGGGGGAAATTTAATCGATAATCGTGTTTTGTTTACAAGAAAATATCATGACAATTATTTTTAGATACTGCCTTTTGTGTGTGCGTATGTATGTGTGTGTGTGTGTGTGTGTGTGTGTGTGTATCAGACTGCTGTCAGATCTCATTGCCTTACCACAGCAGTAACACCTGCTACATCAGGTGGAGCACTGTTCAACTGGCACTCTCACAGTGTGTGTGTGTGTGTGTGTGTGTGTGTGTGTGTGTGTGTGTGTTCGAGAGCAGGTGCTCCAAAAACTGCACTGTAAACAAAACAGAAAAAGCAGCAGCATCACTGAACTGTGTGCACTGCAAGAAATACAGTCTTAGCAAAAGAAAGGATCTAAAGGAAATAAATCTTTCTTTTTTATCTGATAAGACTACTTATCTTAACAGAGCACAGTGAGTTTAAGATTATTCTGTTCATTTTAAGATGAATCACTCACCACTTTCATTTAAAATTAGATTGTTAGGTCTCACTTTATTTGGATAGTCCATTATAATCCACTATAGATTCTCTTCAGATGTTCAAATTGTTAACAAACTGTCTGTTGATTCTAAACAGTGGAGGGGTTAGGGTTAGGATTTGGACCAGGGTTAGGATTTGGACCAGGGTTAGGGCTAGGACCAGGGTTAGGGCTAGGACCAGGGTGAGGGTTGGGTTTAGTTTTTGGGTTGAGGTTAAGGTCAAGGTTAGGATGAGAGACAGGTTTAGAGTTGAAGACAGTTGTGGTCAGTTTAGTAGATATTTAGTTGATTGTAACCTGAAAGTAAATGAAACATCTAAAAGCATCTAAAGTACACTATCCAAATAAAGTGTTACATTTATGGCACAAAACAAGCACAAAGAGTCGCTCGTCAGAATACACCACAATGGAAGTGTTAACAAGAGGGCAAAAAAGTTAAGTTAAAGTTAAACCCTTAAATTCAGCACTACAAAGGCTTTCAAATCACATCTTTTTCAAATAAAGTCCTTGCAGTAATACAGTATCAGACGAGGCTCCTGCTTGAAACAAGTGAAAAAGCCCTAAGTTAATATATAACTACTGACAGCACAGTTAAAATAACTCAATGAGCAATTCCTGTGCTTGTTTTGTGCCTTAAAGGACTTAAAATGAGAATAATGAAGACAAAATAAACAAAATAATCTTACACTCACAGTGCAAGTGATCTTATTAAAGAAAAAAATGAGATTCATTGCTTCAGTATGAGATCATTTCACTTGCCAAGATGTTGTTTTTTGCAGTGTATGTGCTGCTGTATGAGCATGTGTGCGTGTGCGTGTTCGTATCTATGATTAGTTCTGCGCTCCAAAGCTGTTAATGTCAGATCCCCCTTAATAGTGTTTTCTTTTGAAGGTCAAATTTCAAATGAACTGACATTTTAGGGTTAGCGAGGGGAAAGCAGTTCAGATAATAAAGTTGTAGAGTGCTGACATTTCTTCATGTGTTTGACTACAGTTATAGAGGAAAAACAAGACACACACACACACACACACACACCTTAATGTGGCCTAAGTCCACTTTTCTTTGGAGGGGCTGTAAAATAGGCTGCGCCTCGCTTCAGATTATGCTGCTCATTTTGTTCAGTCGGAGCCGGGATTAAGAGACACACTCGCACTAAGAGCCACGGATTAGCCCGGATTACTGATGTGGGCCTCCAAAACACTGCTGTTTTACTGTGTGTGTGTGTGTGTGTGCATGTGGGTTTGTGTGTGTGTGGGTTTGTCTGTGTGTGGGCTGCACTTACACACACAGTGTACAGGACAATATTCCCCAGCTTGTACGTTTTGTAAAACGTCGTACTGCAAAAAATCATATCTTGGCAAGTGGTCAACTTAAAAGTAGTCAATGCACTGCAAAAAATGGTATCTTGTCAAGTGAATCTAGTCTGTACATCTAATATTTTCCATTTTGACATAGTTGTGCACTTATTAGGAGATTATCTAGCTTATTTCTAGACATTTTATTAATTTTAAGTAAAATGATCTCCTTATACTGGCAGATAATTTTGCTGGTTTCAACTATCTACCAATATAGTGAGATATTTTTACTTAATAAAATTACTCAAACAATCAAAATTCAATCTTAAATTAAGCTTACAACAATCTCAACAGGAGAAATATTAGATATACTGACTATATTTAAGATAATGTTACTTAAAAAGATACCATTTTTGCAGTGACTTTCTAAAATGTGTCATTATGAGATTATTATAATAACACTAAGATCATTAAGCTTCTTTCTAAATGTTTATACTTGCTTTAAGGCGTTTTATCTAGTGAAATTGTCTTCTTCTGTTGGCAGATAATTTTCCTTGCTTCAAGCATTATGTACTGAAACAAGTAAAATTATCTGCCAGAATGAGACAATTTAAGTTCAATTCAATTACAGAAAAACAAGTCCAAACATCTGGAAATAAGTTAAATATACAACAATAATACATTGTTTGGATTTAAGTTGGTTTAACTTGCCAAGATATGATTTCTTTACACTATTTTTTTTTCCTATTTTATGTTTCTGTGTTTTTTGTTGGTATTCATTTTTAGGGCCAAGTTAAAGGGGAATTCCACTCATTAAAAAATAATAATTTTAATTTAATGTTTAATTTAAAAAAATCAAAGTTTTAATTTAATGTTTAAGATGTAAATAAAGTCATCCAGATCGGTTTGATGTGAAATGCTTCATTCTAGAGAAACTTGCAGAGTGAGAATGGTTCACAGTGGTGGTGATAGGAACCAGATGTCTGAAGAGTTTAATTCCTCTTAAAGTTCCCACAGAAAGTTACTACATGAAATGGTTATGAATTCGCTGCCTGATGCCTGAGACACAGTTTTATATGATAGTGTTGAGTAAGGTTTTTGGCCCAGAAGGTATCATTTAAAATCAATTCATGGAGAGGCACAAATACAATGTTGTAAGGCATAACTGTCCTTGAATAATATGTATTCTTGTCATTTAACACTATATTACTATAATAATAATTCCTTTTATAAACTCAGTAGACAAATGTAGGTTCACAAGTTTTGGAAAGTAAATAAAATGGCTATATTTTCTTGGAGACATCGTGACCCCTGGTTCCTATCACCACCACTGTAAACAGCTGTGTTCCTATACAGTGAATTATTTCACATCAAACCTCTCTGACAGACTTTGTTTACATCTCAACCACTGAATTATGCAGAAAAACATTCTCCTTTAAGAAAGGGCAATGTGGTCAACAATAGGACGTTTGTAATCACATTTATTATTATTATTATTAAAAACAACGTTTATTATTATTATTATTATTATTATTATTAAAAATAATGCAATTATGTTGCATTATGTTGGGAAACTGATACATAGATACATGCAGGTGTGTCATGAAGGGGCGTTTCACATTATAAAATCAGACTGCGCTGGCCTGCACGTAAACAGAAGTGGAGTAGCTGTTTATACAGCTCTTCCAAAGGTCTTATTTTGGTCTAGTTTCTGAGACTAACTCAGACCTTAGTCACTACTCTGTGCACATATATGTATTCATTTTTTGCAATCCGCAATACTTATCATGATATTAATCATCTGGATGGTCGCGCTGTTTTCATTTAATTCCTGAAGCGATCTGAAAAATTTCCTAGACTGATTCATGTAAACATGGTTTCCAGAATTTCTTTTAAAGGACCAATACTGTACATTTTTTTTCCTGAGGTCCCTGTATAGCAATTGTGTGGGTTTCACAGCAAAAACAGTTATAATTCATTTCTATGTGATAATTTTTTCAACCTCTCTTTATCACTAATAATTTAACGGCAGTTTTTGTAACTGTGGCTTTAAGAATGATGTGTGTAAATGACCTCTGATTGGCTGGCCTGCATTGTGCCTTATACAAAAAGCAGTTTGGGCTCCTTATAACTTTGGCGTGAAGGGGCGGGACTAAACTGCTGTAGGCTGAAATGGCAGCTATATGAAAATATATTGGTTGTGATGACATCACAAAAACAGTGAAATCAAAATGGGCAGTTTTTGCAGTGTCTCATATATGGACTGCAGTGACTGGGGAGTTAATGTTAAGTTCTGAAGTGACAGTTTTTCAAAATCACATGAAAAAATGAGTTTTCCAACTTTTAAACATGTATACCTGCAATGAAAATCATAAAGCCAATTAACTCATGAATAAACCAAGGTTTCAGATATGCTCCTCTGTGAGCTTCTACAGTTTCCATTGTGCTACTGAACTTCTTAGTTTGTTAGCACAAGTGCTACAGATGCTACAGAGTAGCATGAACTGAAAGTTTGGCAGATACAGTAACAATAGCTAAGAGAGGCGGGGCTTGTCCGAATCTGAGAAACTGGCCTAAATCTGTCTTTTGAATGATGCATGCAGCTCTTAAGTGCTCGAAAGGTACTAATGATGCCCACAATGTAGAACAGCTCAGAACAGCTTATCCTGACATAATTTATCATGATATCAATGACATATCGCTTTATTGCCCACCCCTATGCACAGAATGAAAAAAGGCAGCTTTTAAATGCACTTACCTGAGCTACATTTACATAGTCATCATCAGACAGTGTGTCCAGCATCTCAATCACAGAAGTCTTCATCAGTTTCAGAGTCAGTCCACTCACACTGCCGCTCCTATAACACACACACAGACAAACATCCCTGTAACTTTGTCATTTGGAAAAATTTACTGTGACACTCAGTAATTATATCATTTCAGCCTGAGCTACATAAAGCAGCATGCTATAAAAACTTATTACAACGCACATTTTTCATTTTTTCACAAACCATTTGCCTCGTAACCACAGCGCACGGAAACATATGGACTGAAAGCTGTTGCTAAGCAGCACCTGTTGCTAAGCATCCTACACCGCTGTTTCTCAGCCATGTCCATCAAATGTGAATTCCAGGGCGCAAGTTAAAAGCTAACAACACAGCAGCGGAGCGGAGCTGGTCTGTGTGCATACGTGGTGTGTTGGGGGGGTTTGGTGGTGCTGGAGGGGGGACCTGACCAATCTTCAAGACTAGATTCAAATTCCCTGCTGTGAATAGGATTTAACAGTGAAGAACCACCATTAAAAACAATCACAGAACATGAATGGACCTGTAAATTAGTTCTGTGAGTCAGAACACTTTTTTCCTACTACAGAAAAACATAGATACAAAAAATATACTTACACAACATCACAACAGACCAGTATGAGTACAGTATGAGTGTGTCCTACATTTTTCTTGTATTTTATTTCCTCCCTGAGGAACTGGACCTTTGGTACAGTGTGGACTGTACCAAAACATTTTTACAAACACTTAATTCCAATCTCTGCTGATCCTTTAGAATTAATGGTAACACTTTATTTAAAGGTTACCTACGTAGGGACTACATAACACACACATCAGCACTGAATAACATATTTATGAAGCAATATTTGAGCACTTATGACCAGCTCATGCTAGTAAACGCCATATGACATAAGATGCTCTATGAAGTAAATGACATTGCATTGACATAAGGGACCTTCAACTACAGTGAAGGACATTTGTTCCATTTATAACACTATTATGAAGTCTCATTCACAAGTAATGGAACTTAGAAGCAAGGTCTGGTTTAGAAGTTCTACACAGGCCCACATGAGTACAAAACTCTTATGGTAATAAGATGTCATTTACTTCAGTTTATGGTTTCTCGCAATTATTGCCATAAGCTGTTTTAAATACTCAAGTATTGCCTTATAAATATGTTATTCAATGCTTATGTATGTGTTATGATATCCTTATGTAGGTAGCCTTAAAATAAAGTGTTACCGAAATAATCAGGGTGTTTCATTACTTTTACATTACCTCTGTTCTGACTGGTACTGTGCCACATTAAAAAAGCAGGCCAGACTGAAACACTTAAGTTCAACATAAAGGTGTGGAGCTAAACTGCTGTAGGCTGAATAGGCCAATATATGTAAATGTGTTGGTTTTTGTGGCATCGAATTACAAATGTTATTTTCCATATATGTACAGTAGGGTTTGGGGAGTTAACAGTAGATTTTGAAACCTAAACAAATGTTTATGTACTACATTATTTTAAAAACTAAGGACAAATTCAGTTTTCCATGATAGGGGCACTTCACTATAGAGAAGTATTGCAATATGGAGACACACAATGTAAAAATACAATGCATATTATTGGATCAGATTTCCAATACAGAAGTATTTTTAGGTGAAATGGCTGATACATTTACAATACAGTGGCACTATAAATGGGTGAAGAGAGGTTTAAGGGGAGGAGGACAGTGCTGCTCTATTTCACATTGTTTATGACCTTTATACACTTTCTGAGCTGTAATCCATCCAGGGATGCATCAACTTTGGAAAAAGGGTAAATAAAGATTTTCTTAATTTAACAAATTTTTCAGATTACAGTGTAAAAAATGCAGCAATTTCATGCATTTCTAAACTATAGATATTATTGTTTATATAAATCTATTTCTATTTCACAATGTGTGTCCAAAAGTCTGCACATTTCTTCTGAAATGAAGGGTATTAATAGGGAGTTTGTCCTCTTTGCTGCAGTAACAGCCTCTACTCTTCTGGGGAGGCTTTACACTAGATGTTGGAACATTGCTGTGAGGATTTGCATTCAGCCACAAGAGCATTAGTGGGGATCAGGTACTGATGATGGATGATCAGTTCTGTAACGCTAACTCATCCCCAAGGTATTGGATGGAGCTCCATCACTCCAGAGAACACAGTTCCACTGCTCTACAGCCCAATGCTGGGGGGCTTTTAGACCCCTCTCAGTGCTCATGGCATTGGGTGTGATGACCTTAAGCTCATGTGCTGCTGCTCCAGAGCGTCCCATTCTATTTGTGTTCTATGGAGATTTTGCAAGCTGTATGTGTACAATTGAAAACCAGCACTTTAAGGCTGAATTCACTAATTACAGAAGGTGTCTGCAGACTGAGTCATAGTGCTCCTTGGATAAAAGTAATTTTGCCTTTTAAAAATGGTTGTTTCAGCACGAATAAATCAATGGCAACCCATTAACCCTTAAGTGCCCTTCAGTATTTCCCACCAGTTTGAAGCCGATCAACCGGGTTATACAGGAGGATATTCAGATATGTATTATTCCTCACTACCGTGTATTTCAGAGGCCAGATAAGATATGTCATGATCTAGAACACTGGTTCAAAGTCATTCTCGTTTCTGTACCTGCTGCAGATATATCAGCAATTCAAACAGCAAGGCGCAAATCTAATGCCATTTTTCATTGCACATAACCTCCAAGTCATTTTTCAGCGAGTACAATAACACTGTGATATGAAAAATGAGTGCTGCTTTGGATGCCAACATGACGTTGTAAGGCTGAAATGCTGGTCCAGTGGCTTTTGGAACCAACAGGTGGCACTAGAGTGCCATACTGATTTTTGTATCTATTTCTATTTCCTTCTATTGACTAGCAATAGCCTGCATTTGTGTATGAGAGCGATAACGTGTGTGTGTGTGTGGGGGGGTGGTACTTACACATCTACAATGATGACCATATCTTTAGGAGAAGATGCGCCCTGGATGTACCTGTTAAAGACAGAAATGAAAATCAGTTGAAGGCATTATAAACCCATTTAGTTGACTTTTAACATGCTACTTTCAGGCCTATTATATCTTAAATGTTTGAATCCAACAGCACCATTGACACTGGACTAAACTGCAGATGAAAATGTCTTTTTTTTAATCTTAAAAACCTGTACAACTAGAGAATTTACTCGAAAAGTAGTTCAGTACTAATGTTACTGTAATCCACATCACAAAACACATTTATTTATTCACACTTTAATTTGATGGTTGCTTATAGCTCATCAACAAATGCTCAAATTGCAAACAAAATCTGGTGAAACAGTTGATTTCGAGCAGGGTTGGCACCAGGATAAGGGTTAGGAGTAGATGAAGCTTAGAGGGTTGGGTTTAGGGTTAGTGAATCACTGAAAGGTGAGGCTGGATTAAAAGACATTTACTTCATGTGACTCGTATCTGAATTATATCCTGATAAGATTTTAGCCACATGCATTTACACTTCGTAGTCAAATGCGTCTCCGGTTATTTGGACTGTAATCCGATTGCTGTGTGGGACAAAAAATGCAAATCCAGTCGTTACATTGCAACAAATCACCAATTGTTTATCTGTTCAGCCTCTTTGTCTGCAGTTTGTTTTGCACAGTAGTGTCTGTCCACATTGCTATTAAGCATGTTGTTTCGTCTGGTCCCCAAACATGTGTGTCATCCATGATTATCATTCTCGCAGACATGGATCATGTGCCCAGTGACCTACTGCATGGAGAGGAGTTTTGGTTGTACTGGGAGGAGTTTCAGTTGTACTGGGAGGGGATTTGGTTGTACTGGGAGGGGTTTTGGCTGTTGAATGTGTCTTGGAGAGACGGATGCGTTTACACTGCTATAATGGGGCTCAAATGCGTCTCAGACCACCTCCTGAAGTGGTTTGAGTGATCGGATTTGTATCTGTTTTAAATGCATCTTGTCTGTGTTTATACTTGCAATTTTATGGCCTTAGCCAGAATAATCCTCATACTCAAGACGCACGACGTGACCAGGTGTAAATGGGGTCTCAAAATTCAATATGTAAGCCTCACTACATCTGTTGTAAATGTTTATGTGCATCCTACAACTGTGCAGAAGTAGATTCCAGAGTGAGATTTTCAAACTTGAAGACTAGAAAACCCTCTTCTGATTATATATCTTTGACATCGGAGTAACTTTTGAAAAAACTACAAATCTAGCAGGAGAATGCAAAAGGCAAACAACTAATGTTAGTGCTAGGAAGCCTAATATTTTGTCACTGTATTACTGTAATAACTGGCTTCACATAGTCATTAGGATGGAAGAAAGGGATCGTGTAAATGACAGAAATGACTCGTCAGACTAAGAAGATAACAAGCTACAAATTTGGTTAGCAAGGTAGCTGGGTATCTAGATACCTTACCTCCGTTTGGCTTCTTTTCTCTAGCTACAGAGGAAAAACCTTTTAGATTGAATAAAAATAGGATCAGTATTTTCTTTACGACTTTGTTTGACCACCAAAGTGAGAGTACACTTGCTAGCATGGTTGAATTTGTTTGCATACAGATCATTGGCTAGCAGTGAGGATTGGTTGGCACCACAGCGATTCCCAATGGCTAAACGACATATTTGCATAATGCATGCTGGGTATTGTAGTGAGGGATAAACATAAACATGAAAACAATATAAAATTGTTAAACCAATACGGCTGAGAGACATAATGCTGTACTACAGAATATCACCTAACATGAAAAAACACTATCATTTATTAATAGGACAATATAAAGACAAGGTGAGAACATACGAAGCTTTAACCAACTACCAAAATAAAACGTTACCATTTTTTCAACAGCAGACCAACAAATTTGAATATTCCATACAGAAAACGAGTAGTTTAAGAAGGTAAACATCTCTTTAAACTGCTCAATTGGGAAATAGTTATGCTTCTTTCTTTGCTTGCAATATCATCCTTATTTATTGATTTCCTGATTGGAGCCTAAATATTACATAAAAAAGCCGTTGTTTCTTCATACCAGTTAAAAAAAAAGATAAATAAAAAAGACAAAAAATGAACCATTTGCATGCTTAAAGGGTTCTTTCCATCATGAAATGGTTCTTCAGATTGATAAACAATGTGTGGTATATGGTTCTATGTAGAACCTTTTTGAAAGGGGTTCTATATAGCACCAAAAAGGGTTCCTCCAATGCTACAAGCTTGACACTGTCACAATAGAAGAACCCTTTTTGGTGCTACATAAAACCATTTTCAAAAAACATCTATAGCACATTCTCCATCAATCTGAAGAACCCTTTCATGATGCAAAGAACCCTTTAATCATGCAAAGGGTCCTTCAAGTGTTCATGGTTTTATATAGAACCATTTTCTTTACTAAAGAACCACTAAGAACCATCTTTTTTAAGAGTGTATAGCAAGAAATACTTGTCTCCAAATTTGCGAAGGCGGGACAGTAGTACTTATTGTCCCCTGGCAGTTTATTATCGATGTCCTGACGGTTTGCTGTTGTATAATTTAGCATTTTGGTTTAATGCTGACCTTTGACTTTTTTCTTTACTTTTTTTGGCCCTTTTTTCGAGCATTTTTGCATGTTTTGGACTTTTTTTTGGCCGGAAACTAATCTGGCAACGCTTGTTCGCCTCTGTGTGTCCGAGTGAACTCAACACTGCGTCTTCCTTGTCAAAACAATTAGTGCTAAGCTAACCGAGGGTGCAGTTTGAGCAGCGCAGCGTCAGGAGAAAAGCCAGGCTGGACAGGCTTTGTTCTTCAGCTGACTCATCAGGCCGCTGACAAACACATTAGTCAGTCCGTCCATCTCCCGCTGTCTTTGTGCTAGCGCTAGCAAATTGTGCTCTGGAGAAGGGCCCTGTCTCTTAACGACACGGCGGCCATTTTTAGCATAGCCTAGCGCAGGCAGTGAGAGATGTGTAGCACCAGGAAGAAAAAAAAACGGAGGGGACGAGGGCAGCATCTGTCCACGGCTGATAGAGCGTGACATATAGACTCAAATCAAAAGAAAAGGGAAAAATAAAATGAAAAAACATGCGCAATTAAAAACACATTACGGCTGACACAATAGGCCCAGTCGCCTGATGGATGTGGTCGATCTACTTTCATCGTCAGAGGCTTTGGGAACCTGTGCATTGTGAGCTAGCTGGCTGCTGTACAGACGGGTAGTTAGCGCTTTGCGCTAGCAGGAGCGGACCAGTCGTCTGAGGTCTCTTGTTTCACGCTAATGAGGCTGCTGAGCCGGAGTGAGGAGTGGGCACCAGGTGCCTGCCGGCCCAGCGAGGAGGCTTTCTGAAGCCCGGCCAAGCAGCTAGCGCGCAACACTCCAAACCTGCGCTGTGAACTCGGACCCTCCGCTTAGAGACAAAGCTTGCAAAACCACTTGACACACTAAGGCTTTGAGGGACCTCAGCTGAAGGGGACACAGTTCTAATAGTCACTCTGAGCATGCTCAGGCTTTGCGCAGGGGGAAGACGAGAAGTTACTTTTGATGAGTGCTACATTAAAGTTAGACCATCTACTGGCTCCGCGTGTTCTGTACTGACACTAGGGAAGCCATGAAGCGTTCTAGCTTGACTTTTATCAGTTTAATTACTGAAATCTGTAATTTGAACGAGTGCCAGGCCGTGTAGGACTGATGGACGATGCCTTCTAGGCTGAGCTCAATGGAGCTTCAAGATGTGTTTTTTGTGTGTGTGAGTAAACGCTGGGGCTTACATGTGCTTTTCTCAGAGCTGCAGCACAGTGACAGGAGTCTTGAATGTTGTGTCTGTTTTTGTCAGCACAGCTCCAGAACTTTTAACCCTTTAGAAACTTAAAGTGTTTGGCTGGGCATATCTTCATATTTTTGACTGTATCTTGGTGAAATATTACAATATATCAAGTGATCTACAAATTCAGCGTTTAAGACTAAAATGATACGCAAATGCATAAAAAACCTGAAAATGTTCACATTATACAGAACAAAAGAGACTGAATGAATAACCTGAATACTCCAGCAACTTATACTTACTTAGACTCTGTTGTCTGTATATACCAGTCTGTGTCCATTTCTCTCAATGCTGCCATCTGGTGATATATATTGCTATCTAGCTGTATAGAGCCACATCTCACTGCTGACATTTATCAAGTATCTTGGTATTTAACACAAATCTTCAGATCTCATTGGTCTAAAGTCATGCTGGAATTAGCTAATGATTTAGCTAAATACGGTCATGTTTTCAGAATGAAGCTAAAGCTGTGTGGGAGGGTCTCTGAATCTCTGCTTTCACCCCTTAAACTCCCAGGTTTATTACATACTAGGGCTTATTATTCAGTAACTACAGGGACTTCAACGCAAACTGGCTGAGCTATTCTTAGGTTATAGATGTGTGTAATAAAACTTTGAGCACACCAGTGAGCCCTGGCCAAGGAGTTAAGTGGTTCTGCTGGATGGTGTATTCAATCTTCTGAGTGGCTAGCAAGTGGTGACAAAAAGTGTAGAAACAATGGCCGCTGACATGCCAACACATTCAGTCTAAAAGGGTTAGAGAGATTTCGCTTGTGTTTTTATGTAGTCAGACGTAAGCACGTGCTCATATAAAGACTTAATGTTACGATAATTACTTAAACTACTATCCCAACATTGTGTTTCTAACATCAATTAGCAACAGTAATAATGTGTTGGTCATTTATACATTTTGGGGATTTCTGTTTTTTGGGGTCTTGATGGGGAATCTCAAAGAGGGTCGTATTCAGTCGTATGAAAAAGTTTGAAAGTCCTCGGTCGAATTACATGTTCTGTTGTTTTTCTAAGTGAAAATAAGTGAACACATCCTCTACAGAGAACACACCTAAATATGACACTGTTCTGCAAATTTTAGGGCAAAACTTCTATTTATTTGCATATTTAACATAAAAAATAAGGCATAAACCATACAGTGTGCCATAATGTTTGCACAGGCCACATTTTATTTAAGTTTTTCTGGTATGTTAAATT